TTTTTTTTCAAATAAAAAATTAAACGTTTGAGCTCTTTTTTGAACACAAAATAGATAATCGAATATCAACTGAACTACATATTACTTTCCATCCGTCACTACCATTATCAACCTGCTTCCATAGGCATTTTGAAAAGTAACACTGAGGGACGAGAACAGATTTTACTCAGCCATTCAAATGTGTGCGAAATAGACTACTGAAGGTTGTTGTGGGCAAGAGCCTTTCCATAATATTCATTTGAATCCTTCAACCAGTTCTACTACTCAGCTGCTTTATCGTGATGTTACAAAAACATTTTGTCCAAAGAATACGTAAAATTTCCAAACAAAATCCGTTATCATCTTTAAAGAACACCTGAGCAGAAGTGGAAGCAGCAGCTATTGTCGCAATCCGAATTACTATCGCGTAGTGCTCTTCTAAACCTGAAGAAATAGGAGAGCTTCCCTCATCAGTCTCATACCAATTGCTGAAACTTGATGAAAAGTAAAAAGAGTCACCGAATAGATGAACGACGGAAATGATCAATAGACATAACGCAATTGTTGACTGCAACATTAAATGAACTGCTTTTCTTCCCAGTGATTTAACTCTGCAGAAACTTGGATAAAAGCTCATTGCAGATGTGAATATGAGTAATGACGTACTTGTAGTCAAGCAAAGCAAAAGCAATATTGATCGAAAAGCGAAATGAACCCGTAGCAATGGAATTGATGAAGAATGATCCAGATAATGCTTCAAGATTGAATATCAGACCGTAGCTGACTATACTCGTCATGAACCTATGGGTAACTCATTATATTTAGTAAAGAAAAAAAGGTCAACAAGCAACATACATTCCCACGCAGTACGTTGTTGTTGCTAACGCCATCTTTTTTGTGTAGAAAAGATGGCGAACGTTGTAATTTTTTTGCTTCTTCTCCAAGGCTTGCATTTTCTGAATTTTGAGTTTTCAAAGATGCGGGCGGTACAGTTCACATGGGCAGGTATTAGATATTGGAAGTTTAAATTACCCCACCTCATAAGCTGCATCCAGCATTTTCTCCATTTCATTCTTTTTGGCTTCCTTTTGCCTGTCAATTTGCTGGATTTGTTGTAAAACTTTCCTTGCCTCTTCAATCTTTCCTTTTTGTATGAGCCAGCGAGGCGATTCATAGATAAAACTATAATGTATTGTGCTGTACTCGCTAATGGATTGAGACGTAGATGTAAAGCGTACAAAAATAAAATCAGCGCTGGTGAACTAATCACAAAAAGCACTCTTTGGTATGTCCGCCAGTCATGGGAAATGTATGCGACTCCAAGGAGTATGAAATTCGGTGCCCAAGCGATTATCGCCATCACCCAGAATCGATGTCGCCTCGGGATGTGCTCTAGTTTGTACACACCATAAGTACTAAATGTGTTGTTCCTATGTAACTGTGCAACGATTCAATATAGGCTATATCCAAAAAAACTTGCTCACCGCAAAGCAAAATTCTTACCCCAAAAGACCTCCATTGAAGAAAGAAAGAATAGTACGAAGCAGGGTGAAGTTGAACAGTGATGTAGAATAAGATGTTATTATGCTTAACACTGATGTAATAACGAAAGAAACGACAAGACTCTAAAAATAATCACATTGCAAAGACACTACTAGAATGACTATGCGTTCTTACCGATTTTCTGCCGAATCGATCACTTATAACGCCAAAAAATAGTGTGCCCACAAGAACACCTATGGTTTGCACAGAAATGCTGCTTTTTACCCAATGTCCCTCTGCGCATAAATATTCGAACTAAATAAGAGAAGTGAGAAATAAGAAAAATATTTTAGAAAACTAAGAACTATGCTATAGTCAGTCACTTTCGTCTTCTGACATTGGCCAAATTATGTTCAAGTGGAAATGTGTTTATCAAGGATTTGAAGCGCTTTGATTAAGAGACAGATGGTATTTAATTTTGATGCTCTTACCTCAACATTAAGCGACTTGAATTCGTACTGTACTTCCAAATCACAATTAGTCAGAGACGACAGGTTCTTATGAGTTTTGCATACATCTTTGATAGTGAAATTGGAACCATGACAGGAAACCCGTGGAGCGCTTGCTGAAAATTATCGATTTGATTTTAACGCATACACTTTGACGAGCTCAGAATTGATAAAAGAAGTACCAGCGAAAATCATGTAGGTCATATTGCCAGTACTGCCCAATAGAATAAATTCAGAGGTCAAAAGAACCAAATAGCAGTAGTTTCCCAATTTTAAAAAGTCATCCACTGTTTTCGCAGAGGGTGCGACAGCATTTTTTGACTCTTTGAGCTCGTCACATTGTACTTGATAGGTGTTGCTGTTTGACATGACCTGAAGTAAAAAAATCGGTTGTTTAATAGTCTTTTTAGACATAGAAATGTAATAAAAATGGTAGTTGGTTTTCTGTTTGAGTAAAAGTTACGAAGCAAAAACTCGCAATCATTGGTATATGTAGGAAATTTTCAGTCTACGCAAATTCAGAATGGTAATTCCATTATAAACAAGAGAGAAAGTGAGAGAAAAGTACAAAATTTTCGCGTGTTTCATTAGGAATTCATATGGTATTTTTTTGCTAAAGGAGCGCATGGACAAGTTCTGCGAAGTTGATGACTGCATTGTGAGAACCAATTACATGAAATACGAAAAATGATGTGATTAGCTGGAATGTATAGATTTTTGACGAACTGCGCATTCTTCTGTGCGGGTCATAATGTACAAACATCAACAAAATTTGCATTGAAACTTGTTGAATTTGCTAGCGCAGCAGTAAGTTACCTCTTGTAATTAGCGCAATGTAGTGAGTGGAAATATTTGCGCGTTTACGAGTGTTACGGTTAGGTAACCGTGCGAAAAGAAACACAGCAATTGAACAATTAGTTCTGGTCGAAACAAAGTGCATGCAGTTTGTAAATTTGTCGAGAACTAGTTTGATAACTGAGTACTATGTGCCATTTTCTATTTACTAAGCTATTCTTTAATAGGATTCCCATAATGCTCTATATCTTTGGAAATGAGATAATATATTTGAAAGGTTCGTAAAGTAAGTTTTGCGAACATTAAAGATAGTTTAATTCAAAAGTTACTTAAATTGCATCACTTTTGAAGTGTAAGTGAACATTTGAAAAATAAGTTTGAATGAGTGAACCTTGACTAAATTTATGCATATTGAGTAATTAATATATACCTCCCTGAGAAAACGTAACTCGGTTCGGTACACATTCTCAATTCTTTCTTTTCAACTCTTTGAAACAATATTTCTTTAAGACAAATATACAAAATAAGCACTTGTTGGGTAGGTTACCGTCCTTAGGGAACAATTTGAGCTCCTTTCTTAGCTCTTTCAAAGAACTTTGTAATTCAAGAATTAACAAAATTACGATAACAAGTTTGTACAAATTTGCAAATAAGATTCAGATTTATCTGAAAGATTTTTCTAACTTTCATCTGGAAGTATTTATTTTCAATACCGTACTATTTCTTCGTCGCTTTTGCATTCGCGAGTTACAGAGTTCTATCCGATATTAACTGTGTACAAAGAAAAAAATGATATTAAAACATTCCCATACAAAAGCAAGAGGATTTCAACTGGCCGAGAACCAAAAATAGCAGATTTATTTATTTTTAAATTAAGATTCATTGTTATACTAAATTTAGATGTGATTACAATCAAAAAGTAAAGCACAATGAATAGGTCATTACAGTTCCGTTATTTTGAAGAGTATATTTTACTTCTGAATTTCACAAAAGTCGATCTTGAAAGCTTTTCACCTACCCTACTAAATTTTGATATCTTTAATCCATACACTTGTTTTACTCTGACAGCTAATAATTGAGAATGAAGTGTCATGCCGACAAGAACAAACAACCTCTTATACTTCTTCCGTTTTCCATGATTTTTTTGGTTACTTATGGCATTTCTGTTTGGGATGGTACCAAAAAGTTAATCAACAATGTGTGTCATCATTGCTCAAGACCTGTTTCTATCTTTTAACGCTAAGCATCTTGGGAAATTGTTCAGCCAATTCTTAGAAGGCACTATGCACTTATGGAAAGGCTCACTTCGATTACAGCTGGAGAGTATAGGAGTAAGTATAAATATGATGTTAGAGTTACAACCGTCTCCGTTGAGTTCGGATGCCACAGCAATATGTGGAATGTTCTGAACGTTAAAAATGTCATTATTGAAGATAAGCCATTTCGAAAAGACGGGAAACTTCTATAAAAGACAACTAGTTTTGGGCGGCTTAGCTGACTTTTCAACTTCACTCAAGAAAAAGGATGATAGGTTTCGGAACTTCTTTAATATTGATTTCTTCACATTCCACCTTCAACTTGAAAATTAACACAAAATCAAATGATATATTTGAAAGTGTTCCTCAGATATATGGATAGCATAAAAAGCATGTTTGGCAAATTGGTGCATAGAAATAAGGTTCAGAAAATTCACTCGAATTATGAAAGCTTTTGATAAAAAGTAGAAGTAACTAGGCTGTCACAGATCCACTCCATTTTGACCGTTACAGCTTGAAGTTTGGGGTCGTTGATGTTCCTGTGAACGAAGATTTGACGGTCGCAATATGATGTACATGTCGCAGGGGCAGCAACTGGACGGGGC